AAATAGGACTTATGGTCATGTTAGGGTGACTTATGACGTTGGGAATGTCTGCTTGTGCTGGCCATTTCGGGCGATCTCAAAAGGGGTTTGCCTGGCAGTAATCACATGGCTGAAGAGGATGGGTTCTGTCATAGGGTCAACCTTTTAGCCCAGGCTAAAAAAATGTGTCTCTAAGGGTTCAGAGACCACTTGGTTTTGTGATGGGAAATGAGGGCTCCACTTCTCCTTCCACCTTGAAAAAACTTGGCATGTGAGAGCCAACCCTTTTAACACAATTCACCCCAATTGAAAGGACAAAAAAGTAATTCCTTTTCTAGTTCATTATTGACTTTCTCAGTGAGGATAATATCTACAAAACACTTTTTTTTTTCCCTGAGATTTCAAGTGAAGTCTCACTTGCAGAAAACATTTTACATCGTATTTGGACAAAAGAAGAAAAAAAGAAAGATTGTACTTCATGGTTTGCTTGGCTAATTGTAGTCAGGAAGTCTGGTTTTGCTCCCCTGTTCTGATTGTCAAATATTTGCAATGAATTTTAAAATAGTTAAAATTCCCATAGACTTACTGAATGAGTTCACATTCAAGAATCATGTGCAGAAAAAGAGGCTATGACTTTTTAGATAAACCCATCAGTGACAAACTTTTCTCAGCTGTGTTCTACAGACAGTAAGCTCAATACCCTTTTGCTTTTATAGCAGGCTTTAAGTCCCAGCAGGTGAGGTCAGAATCCAGGCACGAATGCCAGCAGAAATCAGGAGGGAGAGAGATGTCATTTCCGTCTACATGGGACATCTTTCACACTGGGGAAGTGGTCAAGGGACTCCAACCCAAAAAACATCCTTTCTCTTCTCCTCGCACCTTTAGTGTCAGGACAGGGACCTGTCATGCTGAGAGCCCCGCTCTGTCCTGCTCTGACCTGGACACTGTCCTGCAAAATGGCCTCCTCCAGAGCAACCTGACCAGCTTCTTGGTTTGAAGTGTCTCGTTCAGTCTGTAGGCTCTTAATATGTTCCCATAGCACCCGATTTCACCCTTCAAAGCAACACGCCTCTGAGCACACATAGTAGGCTAACTTAAAACTGCAATTACCTACAGTATAACCACTGTGAAATCAAAGGTGTAATAAAGCTGTTTTAATGAAATGAAATACATCCATTTTCAGAAACAAACCCATTGCTGGAGGAGGAAGAAAACTGAGAGATCAGAATTAGTATTACCCTTTTGTGATATCTCTTTGTTTTATAAAATATTGCACATGAGTTACACAGGTTGGGATAATGAGAAACATGCATCTTTGCTTGGGATGTCTTTTATGAAATGTGTAACAATTGCAGAATATTATATTATATCCCCTTGGAGAAATGAGACCAGACAGTTAAGTTCAGTCCACAACACATTTGACAGGCAATTCCTCTGGACCAAATTTGATCAAGCTGCAGGCAGTGTCCAATCAATTATGGAATTTATGTTTTTAGCATGCATTTTAAATGTTAAATAGAGTCACAGGAACATGAGAGGTTCTGTGCTGTTTGGTTGATCAGATTTCACAATGTGTCATCCAGGATAAAGCTGTATACGTGCTGTAAATGCTCTAGGCTGGGCACTTGCAGAGGGAATGGGTACACCAAATGTGCTGCAAATCCTCCTCTTCTTGCCCTGATCCTCATCCAGTGCCACTGACTGCGAGGCTCCCTCTGCCATCTCACAATCCCTTTATTTACTCCCATTCAAAATAATTTGACTTATTTGACTTACAGAAAGTCTAGAAGTCTCTGGAATAGCACACTGTATAACATTCACTGAAGAAAACAGAAGTCTCAAACAAAAGGAGGAGAACAGAAAGCTGAGAAAGAAGGCAAATCGTGAAAGCAATTCAGCCTCCAGCTTTTAGCAAGCTGAAAAGTGTACAACAGGAGGGAACTCTCAGGGTAAAATCCAGCCACACGCCGAGGCAGCAGAAGGTCTGTCTACCATTTAATCCTCAAAGGACGTCACCATGTAGGTGCTAAGTCCTCCTGCTGGATCGCGATGCAGAAGTGATTATCATCCCTGGAGAGCACGCTGCAGAGAGCTGCCCTGTGAGCCGATCTTGGAAGGATCTCTTTCCTCTTACAATGCAGGAAGCACTTTCCGTCCTGACCTTCAGTCACTCAGTACCATGTATTACAATACATGCTTCTAATGCAAAGGCTTGGAATGCTGGACAAGGAAAACCAAATTTTCCACTCTTTTATAACTGCAGACCCACCTTGACCTGAACATGGGGTTACTGTGAGAAGGATTTGGGCTAGGACAGCACAATGAAAAGGGCTAATCTTCTCAGTTTGTGGGAGTCCCTCTTTCACAAAGAAAGTGAGGGAAGCTTCACAGCACTTGACATTAGGGGCATCTGACTTAATCCCAAATGAAAACAAGAAGAAAACCTTGATTGTGGTTTCAAAGCAGTCTAGCTGGGGGAAATGGAGAGCGAGCAACTGAAGCCAGCCCTGGGATCCTAGAAGGCAGAAAGGCAGACTATCCTTCAGACTGTAAATGTGTGTGTTTATTCACATTAGCACACAGTGCAGGTTTTACAACCTGTTCTGGCTCCCTTTGCTTGGTGTAAGATACTTTCCAGATTAGGAGGAGGTGCTGGGTAGCTGGAACCACACCTCTACCCACATGCAAGGTCTGACCCTGCCCTCTTTAGAGGAGTGACCAAACCCCTGCTGCCTTGAGCACTGCAAGGCTCTTGAATTTGCATCCTTCATTACAGAGATGCAGCAGCTGCTGGGCTGTGCACAGGGGCTCAGCTCAGCAGAGGCTGCAGGCTCCTCCGCTTCGCTGGGGGTGCAGGTCACCCCTTACCCCTGCCACCGTAGAGCAGGGAGGACACCCAGGTAGCTGACAAAACCTAACAGAATTTAATGCTGAGGACAGTGAGGTGGGCATAATGTGGGAACAGGAGCTACGTAAGGATCTCCAGTAATTATTTTATTTAAATTGAGGGCTTTGGGGTTCTTGAGGTTGGGGTTTTTTTAGCAACCAGTCCTCAGTAAACTTTGTGTCATAGTAGCATGATGGCAGGACTGCTAAATGAGTAAGACAGCATTGGTTGTTTTGTGCTTACTGTGCAGATATCCAAGCATTTTTAGCATTTCAGTGTTTTGCAGCCCAGGCAGAGTTTCCTCTTTCTTCCCACTGTCTTGGGTAGCCGCGACCTCTTTGCTTCAAGTGCAATTGACACCAGTGGTCTGAAACCACTAAACTATGCTCTAGTGGCCACAATGAGAATGAACTATGGTTATTTAAAAAAAAGTAAAATAAAATAAAAAAGAAGATAATGTTATGATGCAGTACAGATTAGCTCACATTACAGGAAAACAGCAGAGGACGTTATATGCTTTCCAGTTTTGTTCTTCATAATGGTTGGCAGAGCTTTTCAAGCTTACTTTTCAGAAGCCAAAGCTACCCCTGGTAGCCATACAGATGGCTGCTCTCCACTGCTCTTTCTTGGACAGACACAACCAGTGTGTCCCCGTTACGGAAGACACGCCAACCGCTTGCTCACTGGCGCTCCTGCTCTGCAGGGATAACACACATCCCTGCCTCTGGCTGTATTTCACATCAGCGACAAGGCTCTGGGACAAGTGTTCCTCACCGCCCAAGGACCTAAAATGTAAAACCCGTCCTCAGAGGAACAGAATTTCTCTGGTACTGAAGTATCCATTACAATTTTGAAAACGTTTAGCAGAGAAATAACATTTGGTGTTTGGAGGTGGGCTGCAGACCATGTGAGGCAGTCTCATCTTTCCCCGCAGATAGACAGTCTGCAATGCTTCATGTGGAGTGTGAACTCACCCTTTCTCCATCTTCTCCTAGCTGGCAGAATGTTTCTGAAGGCCACGGATGGCAGGCATCCACCTTCCTTACCTCTGTGCCTGTAAACTGCTGCACAAGGGAAGGTGGCCAGCAAACGCTGCAGTGGGGCTTACAGGGGTTAGGAGCTGCTGTCAGGAGATGAAAACCAGAAACAAGAGGCAAAGATAGGAAGGGAAAAGGAGAGAAATAAGCAACATGACCTGCCACATTTCAGCAAGAGGGGCTGTGTTTCTCTCTGCTTTCAGCACCATACTGCAGACAAAGGCACATAAGTACAGTATGGAGACCTACCAGGTGTAGGACCAGGCTTTTGGGCTGAATTTCTCCCTGAGCACCAAATGGCTTTGTTGCAGAGGAAGGCAGGAAATACAGGCTGCAATGCTTGAGGCAAGCTTTTGAGTGAGATCTTAACAAACATCAGATGAACCTCACAGTGCACTTCCCGCTTTTGAAAATTAAGTCTCTGTGCTTGACAGGAGTTTGCTCATCTGTGTAACATGAGATGCGGGCAGCTGCTGGTGGTCCTGCAGGCTCCTGCTTTGACTCTGCCAATGTCATGTTCATGAGTGTCAAAGAGGAGGTGGAAGTTAAAAGGAAAATGAAAGTGGCCTATGGCTTCCTTTTTCTGCAAAAGTAAATGAGTATACGAAAATAAAATAGTAAACGGTATCCCCAAAAAGATTGAATTCTGCAATCTTTTTTTTTTTTTGAAATAATACTTGAAAACATGTGAGGAAGGGAAGAAAATGGTAAAAGTCAAGAACGTAAAGGACATGGAGGGACCTGTTGGAAAGGGAAGTGCTCCCAGCAAAATGTTGGTTTGCTTTCCCTCAGGAGCTCCATGCTTGTGGAAATGCCTAATATAGGTATTGAGTTAGCACAGCCAGCACCCTCGCCAACCTGAGGAGTCCAGGCTTGGTGGCCAGGGGTAGCCCTGTCATTTGGGAAGTATAGTCCCACTCAGGGAGGTATAGCCCACCATAGGAAGGGCAGTCCACACTTCTTGCTTGGCAGAGGAATAAGTGGTTTCTCCTCCCCTCTAAAGCAGGGCTTTGCACAGAGCCACTGCTTGGGAGCCCATGGGCCAGTCCAAGTCAGTCTGGACAGGTGGACACAGTGGACCCCCTAGGGCACATCCCTCAGACTGATGGGGTGGCCACAGCCCTCTCGTACATGCGCTCCAAGATGCGGTGGATGCTGGCAAATCCTGGCCGGTCAGCAGGCAGCTTGCTCCAGCAGAGGCGCATCAGGTTGTAGAGCTCCAGGGGACAATTATCCGGGCAGGAGAGGACATTGCCATCCCTCACATAGTAGATGACCTCCTCATGAGCCATCCCATAGTAGGGCTGCATGCCGTAGGAGAAGATCTCCCACAGTACCACTCCGTAGGCCCACACATCAGACTCTGTGGTGTAGCGGTTGTAGAAAATAGACTCGGGGGGCATCCAGCGGATGGGGATGGCGTCATTCTCATTTGCTTTGTAATAGTCAGCCGAATACATGTTCCGAGAGAGACCAAAATCAGCAATTTTGACCACCATGTTCTCCCCCACCAGGCAGTTCCTAGTAGCCAAATCCCGGTGGACGAACTTGCGCTCAGAGAGGTACGCCATGCCGGCAGCCACCTGCTTGGCAATGCAGAGCTGGCTGGTGCAGCACAGAGCCAGGGGGTTGGGGAGGCGGAACCGCGCATCCAGGCTACTGTGCACCAGGCTGCAGAGGTTGCGGGGCGAGCGGTCACGCAGGTACTCGTTGAGATCCCCATAGGCCATGTACTCAAAAAGCAGGCACATCGGTTTCCCAACAGCACACACACCTGGAAGAAGAGAGATGCACCGCACAGGTCAACCAAAAAAATCCAAAAATAGGTACACAAAGGCGAGACTTTAAACAATGAAGAGAGAAAGGTGAAGCATGCAAATACCACCAAGTTTGCGTGCATCCCTTTGTGTCTTTGAAGCTCCTTCACCAGGGATCTGTGGGAGATCCTAACAAGCTATGCTATTGCCTGATTTGTCTGGACATCCCAGGAAAAAGATATACTTTCAGGGCTATGTTTAATTAAGAGCCCAATCCTGCTTAAGTTGGCATTAAGGGAAGTATTGCCTCTTCCCAAGTGCAACTGGAAGGACATACTTTCAGGAAGTAACATTTATAGTTTTGATCACGGTATTTTTTAGTTCTTTTGTTTATTATAATTATTATACTGATATGGGTGTAGCAGCTACACATATGCAGGAAAACTTCAGGAGTAATAACAAGGGGCATGTTCAAGGGTTCAGTGGGACAATTGAAATGCAAAGATACTCCCATGTTTGCCACATCTGATAGGTACAGAACCTAGTCCCACTAAAGGGCACATGCCTGGCCCTACACCAGCTTCACTGGAGGCCAGCATCAGTACAGGACCCCATTCCCATCAGTTTTACAGCATACAGCGATATGGCAAAAATATTTGTGTGCTCACTATTAAATTGCCAACCAGCAAAATCCCGCATTTAAAATGCATGTGTTTTGCTTTCTTAGGGCTATCATTTAGCAACTGGTGATCCAACTTATTGTGAAATCTGAAATTCTTGTTGATGACCTAACACTTGAATCTTTGAGGAAAAACAGATAGCTGCTCCCAGTGTGATAAAATCAGGATCTGACAAGCTTAAGGAGTGTATGTGAGAGCTTTATCATCTAAGCTGTCTTCAACAACATGGCTCTTTTCTCCACACCCCCACAATGTGAAACTAGTTTGTTCCTGTACCTTTGCCCTTTCCTAACCTAAAATGTGTTGACAGTAAACACACTGTTTATTTGAGTTTGGGGCATTTCCTGCTTTTCTTTTCTGTAGCCAAAGTACTTGTGTGAACCCAGCTTTCCCAAATGTTGTGGAGCTTTCTAATGAAATAAATTAAGATTTCAGCTGCCTGTTCACAGGGATCAGATCTGCGTACAACATCTTAGAGCAGGATTGCCAGGTGAAGTTGGCTAGCAACATCTACTTCAGTCAAAAGCTGAAAATTTACTGAAATAAAATTTGGTCAGCAGCTTTCTTCACAGAAGAATGACCTATTAGCCAAGCTGTGGCATCGAGACTTTCTAAAAAACCCAATGAACCAGGGTTTTCTTTCAGTTGCAAAGGGAAGGAAGAGACCATTTTTGCGGTTAGCTTTTTTTGTTTGTTTGTTTCATTTTGGTTTTTTTAATGCTGGTGAGTGTTCAGATATCACAATAGTAAGTGGGACCCATAAAACTAACAAGATTTGTGCCTGTTTTTTTTAAGTACCCGCAAAATAAGTCATAGCTCCAGGAAGCTTGTGCCTTCCCTGTAAGAAATCTGTGCCAATGCTATTAAACTGAAAGTCAAGCTAGGCAGCAAGATGGTCAAAATATGCTGAATGCAGGATGAGAATGGTTTATTGCAATGGACCATCCTATTCAGGCAACAGCATGAGACCTACATTTTGAGACTTGTTCTGGTGGACAATTTCACAGAGCATGCAGTGGCACATAGAAAAGCTCACCTCTTTTGCAAGAGGCATTTTCTCTTGCCAAAGAGAGCAGCATTGCCATTTGCAATAAGCACCGGTCATGCGTGTATGTTCACCCCTGCAGCCCCAACAAACCCACAGCAGGATTGCCGAAGGTGGTACATGGGCGTCTGTACATGGGCGCCTCATTCAGATACCTAAAAGCTTGACAATATTCGGATTGTCAAACTCTGCCATGAGGGCTGCCTCCCTCTGAAAGTCAGCCTGCATGTCTGCGGATGCCTCCTCCTTCAGCATTTTCACTGCCACCATTGTGAAAGGCTCGTAGGGCAGCAGCCCTGGGGCCCTGCAGGGAAAGGGGAGAAGAGAAAACATCAGTGATGGATGCATGCATGCCAAATGTAGGCTCTGTTTCTGGTGCAAAAGGATAGGCTGACAGAAAGAAGAAAAGAAAAAAAAAAAGAAGGTGGAAGACCCCAGCACTGACTGAAGGAACATGAAAGACCATCTTTACCTCTCAGGCATGTCTGCATTGCATAGTACAGAGGCATTTAATTTACTTCAGGAGAGAATAAATCCAGTATAGCTTTTTTTGATCACTACTCTTTCTGCTTGCACACTCTTTACCGTGACTGGTAAAGAGATAAATAAATAAGATTGATAAGAAAAACCTCTCCCTGGGTTGAAGGTCACATCAGAAACTTCATGGAGGTCAGGATGGACTCTTCAGTCCAAACAATTCACTTCTGGGGTGTAATGACTGAGCTTACCAGAGTTAAAAATAAACTTATTTCATATGAAATTGCTGAAAGAGCCTCTTTTCACTGCGTCTTGTCCTATACCTGGCACAATAGTGGCATTAGTACATCTGGCTACTATGAGTGAAGATAACAATTACAGTATGTTCCCCTGGGTTTGTAAGGAAAATAGCCTTTTGCCACTGTTCTGTGTGCGTGTGTGTGCGCAGCATGTGTGCGTGCCTGTGATTCAAAAAGTTATAAACCCATTAGCTAATTTCAGCTGAATTTAACATAGTGGAGCTGTGGTCTAGGAAATAGTTATGCTCCCGCAAGTTTTTTGGAAAGAGGTGACAGGACAGAAGGGAGAAAGCATGCATATGCCCTGTCTGAAGAGCAAGGTAGTGCGTGAATACACCCGTGTTAAGATGCTGGTGAATCTTCAGCTAGAGCTTGGAGACACAAATCCATAGGAAACAGAGCTTCCTGACTTAGAGCAATCACAGACTCATTTTGTTTTCTCATCCACAGGTCAGTGCACCCTCTACAAGTTTAATTAGATGGGCTTGCCAAAGATTTAGGGGTAGCTGTTGCCAAAGAAGAGTGACTTTCCACCCTTCTAAACGTGGTTCAAACCTCAAATGTGCTTTCTGTTGCCCATGCAAATTCTTCCCAGGGGTCCTGCAGTTAAAACGCGCTCCTCGCAGGTAGTCAGCCAGAGCCCATGGAGAGCAGCGCCCATTTACCTGTCTTGTTACTACGCCGACCCGACTGCCCTCCCGCTGCTCAAATGTCAGGTTATTTTACCACTCAGTAGCCCCAAGAGGAGGTTCCGATTTCCAAAGCAAACTTCCAGTTTCCTTGTCATCTACTCCAGACACATGGCAGTTGCAACAGTTGCATTTGGATGCTGTAAATGTCAAATGTCAGAAGATGGCAGGGTGCCCATCAAGAACCGGCACGCCGGAGCAGAGGAGCAGACTCCACACTTGTCTGATATTGCCTCCATTACAGCAAAATGTCTTCCTTCTTTCCCCCTGTGCTGTCAGTGAGTTTCCAGTCTAGTAGGGGGGGAGAAGTACCAGCACCTACCAGCTGCTGTCTAAGCTCAGCGCACAAGAAAGTCAGCAGCAACGGCCTGAAGAAACCAGTAGAGCAATTAAAAGTAAAAAGAGGAGGGCATTTATCTGTTCTGAACAGCCTCATTGTAGATCACCTCTCATCACTGGCCAGCAGACCTAGCGCAGTGCCAAAGCAGGAGCAGGCACAGCTCCATCTTGGATGCTGCAGAGAGAGAAACTCACCCCAGGCTAAAGCCTGAAGCACACCCATCCATCTACTCTTCACTGAGATCCTGTAACATAAACTAACCTAAATGTAACTTAAGTGAGATTAAGCTGCGCAAAACCTTTTAATGGGCCTTCAGGCAATAAGAAGTAATTTCATCTTTTCGTAATTCATGTGCTACTTCAGCCCAGTTCTTAGTAGACCTGGGAAAATCATAGAATCATAGACTCATAGAATGTTTTGGGTTGGAAGGGACCCCTAGAGGTCATCTAGTCCAGCCCCCCTGCAGTGAGCAGGGACACCACTAACTAGATCAGGTTCCTCAGAGCCCCGTCCAACCTGGCCTTGAATGTTTCCAGGGATGGGGCCTCCACTACCTCTCTGGGCAACCTGTTCCAGTGTTTCACCACCCTCATTGTAAAGAATTTCTTCCTTATATCTAGTCTAAATCACACTGCTTTGGAACAGAGACAGACTCTGTTTGAGGTCTTGGCAGAGAGCTCTTGAAGTTGACCCCTTTGGTGCCCAAAAGGCAGTCTTTGCACAAAGGGATAAGGGCACGCCTGCAGGGGAGCAATAGGAAGCTGCTGCTTCTGAAATTAACAAGGAGAATTCAGGTGGTGGGCCAAGACATGGAGTGTTTCCTAGAAAATAGATGGATTTCTTCTAGAACTGGGAAGCATCAACAGAAATTACTTTGGGTTCCCTGTCTCATGATTATCTAAATGTTTAGAAGAAATGTCCATTGGACATTTGCATGCAGGATGGACCGCAGCTGTCCTCACCTTCTTCACCATCAATGCATTTGTGCAACACTGGCAGCATTTGCCTTTTAGGTACCTGCCATGCAAAGAACTAACCAATGGTGTGGTTACGGATTTCACCCTGAGCCTGCCTACAGACAGTGTCTGACTTTAAGTTTCCAGTCAGGTTTTCTTTCCAGAGCAGTAACCATGAAAAAAATGAGGAGCAGCTTGAACCTGTATTTGAGATTGTGTCTTGTCTCTCATCTTCCTCAGCATCACAGTTGAGTAGCTTCTGTTAGATCATTAATTGAAGCAATCAACATCTGCTGAGGCTGGTGGTGACCTACCTTCACTCTGTCCTTCTGAGAAATTTCTCTGTGGGCAGGAGAGTGCTCTGAATTGGCAGAGGCTTGTTTTGTTGTGAGTTTTTTAATTAATGTGCACATGGGTTTTCAGCTATATTTGACACAGCAGGTCAAATAAACACCCTTTGCACTTGGAAAGAACATGAGGAGACTTCTGTCAGAGAAACTCCAACCTTAGGGGCAGCTTTGTCTCTTGAAGAGACTGCAAGCTGTGCCTTTGCAGTGGGGGTCTACTGGCCTGCTAGCAAAGACCCCACACCCAGGCTTTTAGGCAATCCTGGGCTTCAGGCTTAGCCTGGACCATGCAGCTCCAGCTCTGGGGAAAACCTGCATGCTAGTCTGTGTTGAACCTCACAGGGCTGGTACTCTGGTGGCATGTGGGGCCAGCATGGTCCTCCCAGAGGCAGAGGATCCTGAGTCATCATCAAGACCCAGTCGGGACAGATTCAAGCCAGGGCCTGAATCTTGGTTTAAGGACATCTGTTAGGCTAACTGGTTACTTCCTCATCCTTTCCAGTGTGAAGCTTCCCCTGGTGAAGACGTCAGCCTTTCAGGAGAAGCTAGTAAATGATAGCCAGACGTTTCCTGTCCTAACATGTTGCTTGACCCAGGAGTGAGTAAACACTGAATCAGGACTCGCAGCAAGCCAACTGGCAAAGGCATCACTGGCACCGTGCACAGAGCTGTGTTTACAGGAGAGGGAGAAACATGAGACCAGGAGAAGTAAGAGGGTTGCTAAACTTAGCTTGAGATGTCTGTTTAACACACGTAGACAAGTACATTTTATCCATCTGAGATGGGAAGGCAACAATTTGAGTTATGGTAGCTTCAGTAACCTGGAGGGATGCACAGCTGGTGCTACTGGATAAGCAGCCTGTGCTGATCTGCCAGCGGTGCACAGAAATGCCGCTGGCTTAAATGTTCCCTGGAAATATAAGGCCTTGGAGGGACTTTTGATAGAGATATCAATAAAAATAAGGAAGTCCCTCAGAAGCAATACTTCTATGGCTGCTTCCCTCAGCCACAGAGACCAGGTGTTTCTGAAGGTACGGTCTCTCCACTTTGAAAATGCTGGCTAAGAAGATGTGTTGCTTTTTTTTATTTCTTCTCTTTTCCTCCCAGTTTCCACTGACAATAACAAAAAGTGATTAAAAGTAATTGGAGCACTGGGGTGAATGAATGACGTTCACATAAAATGTCCCTACACCACTTTAGCGCTTGCTTAACCCAGTGCTTTAGTGACATTTGCATGCCCTCTGAGAGGTCCTACTCAATGTGGGTGAGAGTCATTTCCAGCTCAGAAAGGTCTGTGTGGCACTTAAATTAAATTTAAGCTCCCAGTGCAGGGCCAAAGGAGCTCTTGGCACGAAGACCGCCTGCCCTGCTTGTGCACCAGCAGCATGGTGAAGACCCCCGCCACATGAGCCAGAGGGCAATGCTTGGCAGGGCGTCCCCAGTGATGTCCTGAGGCTGGGACAAGGCCTGCCCTGCCGCGTTCCCAAGCACAGCTGTGGTGCAGCTCCTACAGACTTGTTCTCATGTCAAGCTCAGACGCGCTTGGCTTTGCCATCCAGGCTAACAATCAATCGCAGGCGACATATCTGTAATTTTCCCATGGCACACCCTTCGAACTTTGTTATTTTTAGCCTTCTCTGTACTAAAGGGAAGTAAGCCTGCATTTCTTCCATTAGAAAAAATGCATCCCTTCATTGGAAGAAAAATCCATCCCAGCTATTGAAACCGTTTCCCCACTCGACACATACAACCTGCACATAACTTATTTCCTAGCAGATACATCATGAACATAACTATAAACATTAGAAATATCTGCAATTATGACTGCTTTTTTCAAGGAGAGTCCTTTGTCTTTGAAGTCAGTTTCACCCAGGCAGGTCTTGGCCCATGGTGGGACTCTGATATTCCCCTGGGTTTTTTTAAGGTCATCATACACTACTTCAGATATAGCTACAAAATTGGCCACATCCCAGACTTGTTAACTGTAAAGGACAAAGAAAACCATCCTGAGTAAACATGGAACTGGACAGTCTATCTACTTTCTTTCAGGAATTTGGGGATGGGATTTTTTGAGGAGTACTGGTCAAAGACTGATCTGCAGAAACTGTGGACTCTGTCAGAGCTAACAAGATGCCCTCCATCCACCTCAGTCTAGGCATGACTGGGTTCATCTCTGGGTTTTTCAGTGAAACATTTTTCACGTTTGAAGAAGTGCGTGATCTTACCTCCCATGAGATTTTACAGAACTGGGATCTCATCTAATACCTTAGATTTAAAACAGGCAACAATGACTGCAAATTACAAGAATAAAAAATGAGTGGCTAAAGGGGACACACAAAAAAAAAAAATTGTTGGCCTAAGTGGGTTGGGTTTTTAGGGGATTTTTTGTTTGGTTTGGTTTTGCCACTGAATCAAATGGAAACTGGGTCAGGACCTAACTGTAGCATGACACATTGCCCTCTGTGGTAATTACTGGCCAGTGTTGGCGTTGTAATGGAGGACACCACACACTGACAATTTGCAAATACTGGGAAATGCAAGAATTTCACAATAGGTTACATGTCACAGGCAATACTCTTGGCAAAAACAGCAATGATAAATTTAGCTAAGCTTTTACACCAGACTTTGGTATGTAAGACATTGCGTCTACTAGAGGGAAGAACAGGAGAGTAATTTGTGACAAAATTTTAACAAATATCAACAGAAAGCAGTGGACAGAAACAATTATTCAGGTCTGAGTGCACCATTTGGTACATGTGCATTTGGTTTTGGTTTGAGTGAATGAATTTCTGGTACCCAGATAAGTGGGTGCTCAACTGCCAATTTTTCCCAGGTACCTCCAGATAGAGAGGACTCACACACACAGGATGCTTACCTTGCTTGGAAGACTCTCCCAAATGCTCCTTCCCCGATATCTCTCACATATTCAATATTGTTCCTGGGATACTCCAGGCTGAGCAATTTCGGATTGAGGAGAAGGGGCATCCGCTGGTACATCGGGTTGGGGTGCAGGCGGTCAAGGAGGAGTTCGGAGGGCAGAGTGGTGAGTGTCGGTGTCTCTGACTCTCTGAAACAACAGAGCAGTTTTCGGTCAGTGTGTGCACAGCCCCCAACCAGGAGATAACTATCCGCATCTCCACCGGGCGTGGTTTCTTCCAGGATAGAAAAGGGAGGTGCAGCAGGGCAGTTGAAAGAGTCTTGCAGCAAGGTGTCATGCCATGTCTCCAAAATAGCCACCGACCACCTTTCTGCTCTGGCACAGGGGCTCACCAGAGTTTGCACTGGGCTGCCACAGGCAAAGGGAGGGCTGCCCGCTCCCAACCAGGAGTTTTCAGGACTATGCTCTCAGAAACAGGCAAGCCCTCTTCCAAAGTAGCATTTGTTGCCTTGAATTGGGATTGGGTGGATTGGGAACCTGGCTGCATAGCAGAGCTGAGAGGATTGTGATCGGTGGCACAGAGTCTAGTTGGAGGCCTGTAGCTGGTGGGATTCCCCAGGGCTCTTGTTCAACTTACTCATCAACAATCTGGACGAGGGTACAGAGTGTACCCTCAGCAGTTCACCAATGACACAAAACTGGGAGGAGTGGCTGATATGCCGGAAGGCTGCGCTGCCATTCAGCGGGACCTGGACAGGCTGGAGAGCTGGGTGGTGGGGAACCTGATGAAGTTCAACAAGGGCAAGTGTCAGGTGCTGCACCTGGGGAGGTTGAACCTCATGCACAAGTACAGGCTGGGGACAAGCTGACCATGAGCCAGCAGTGTGCCCTTGTTGTCAGGAAAGCCAATGGCATCCTGGGGCTTATTAAGAGGAGTGTGGCCAGCAGATCGAGGGAGGTTCTCCTCCCCCTCTATTCTGCCCTGTTGAGACCCTTCCTGGAGTACTGTGTCCAGTTCTGGGCTCTCCTCTGTTCAAGAAAGATGAGGAATGCCTAGAGAGGGTCCAGAGGAGGGCTACAAAGATGATGAGGGGACTGGAGCATCTCTCCTACGAGGAAAGGCTGAGGGAGCTGGTCTTGTTTATCCTGTAGAAGAGAAGACTGAGAGCGGATCTCATCAACATCATACAAATATCTTAAGGGTGGATGTCACGAGGACGGAACCAGACTCTTCTCAGTGGTGTCCAGCAACAGGACAAGGGGCAATGGGCATAAACTGAAGCATAAGAGGAAGAACTTTTTTACTTTTAGGGTGACAGAGCACTGGAACAGGCTGCCCAGGGGGGTTGTGGAGTCTCCTTCTTTGGAGATATTCAAAACCCACCTGGACAATGCCCTGTGCAACCTGCCCTAGATGAACCTGCTTTAGCAGAAGGGTTGGACTAGATGATCTCTGGAGTTTCCTTCCAACCCCTACCATTCTGCAGTTCTATCTGATTCTGTTAATTTAGTCCCGAGTTTTACCTTTTTTTGTTTTTCCACTGCTTTCGCCGATGGCAGCAAACCAGGGTGACAATGCCAAGGATCACGACCAGGGCAAAGCTGGAGATGATTGAGATGATAACGGTCATGGAGTATGTAGGGGAAAAGGGAGGAGGAGGGGGGACATTTGGAGTCTCTCCATTTGGTTTTCTTGTTCCTAGTGATAATGATGCTGTAATGCAAACAAAATCAGAAGATTATGCCTCTGCTAGTTTATAGGGCTTTCTCTAAGAGGTATTTACAGAGTCAGCCTGATGTCCTGGGAATTACTGACATTACAGATACAACCATATGACTCTATGAGAGGACCATACTAGGGAAGCCTCGTTTGCAGTAAGTAAAACCCATTTCTGCTTGCCAAATGTGAAAACCCAGAATCTGGTAAAGACCACGACATAGTTGCCATTAACCTGGGAACACAATTTTGGTAAGGAATGTTTGCAAGAGTTACAGATGGGAGATGACATCTGATGGTCTCAACAGTATTCAAATATAGTAATGTCTGCAGTGGGAAAGATCAATGGTCTACAATGTGGACCACAATGTATCATGTGTCCTAAAAGGAATCTGCGGGGCGGAGTGTACGACCAAGTACACAGTGGCACTTTCCTGAAATATCCCCTTGCCTCCAACAATTTGCATCTCAGTGTCTTTATGGGGCAAATATGGTAAACTAGTGTAAAATACATTTGGCTGTATTGTTAGGGAAAAAAAATAATATTCAGGGAGCCACCTGCTGACTACTTTCTGGGGCATTCTAGAAAATGCTAATCTGTACATGCAATGATTGAGAACAGAAAGAAATTTAAACCACTCCTTTTAAGGCCAACTAAACTGATACTAGCTTGTGTTCCCTTAAGTCCACAGCACCCCTGTTCTCTGTGTAAGCAGAATTGTCTTATTTCCAAACCCTAAGATACAGAAACTGTGCATCCTGAATGAAATATGTTTCAAAAATTATTCTGTTCTTTGAACAAGAAATAACAGAAAAACTTAGTTTCAACATCACAGAGCAAAGACTTTTCCATCTTTTTCAGTTTGGTTTTAGTTAGAAGTGGTTTTTATTATTGAAAAAAATCACCAGAAGCAAAACAACTTTGGCAAATATGCTTGGCAAATATCACCCCTACCTTCTCCTCAAAACAAAGTGTGGCGAATTCATTTCTGATAATACAAAGGGAAATTTGATTTCATCCTTTGGCCTTAATATAATTTGGGGTAAAGTGCTTGATTTGCCTATCTTCATTTTCCCATCTTTAAGATGTTACACATTCTGTCTAAAGATGCACTTGAGTCCATGAGAAGAACCAGGACTGTCCAAATCCAGAAGACAAGAACAGATCCCTGAGCACTCAGGATGCAAACACCTTGCCTGGCCCCAAAGCAACCACAGTGGCAGAAATTGTAAATTGCAGTTCCCTACCATCTCCACAGGGAGACACGCTGCAGTACTCCCAGGTCACGGATGGGTCTTTTGTGTAGCACCAGGGACGTTCGTTCTCACCTCCTGGATTGCGGCAGTAATTCTCGGCATCAGACAACTCAGGGAAAACCTGAGGAGTCCTTCTGTGCAAGTGGGGAGCCTCGAGGAAGGAAACAAATTGGATTAGCGTTTCAGCATAATTTTTTCTGCTGGCATTAGCAAAAGAAAATCAAACAAACAGCTTTTCAGTAGCCTGCCAGAATGACAGGGAACGTATCTTGCCACCAGAAGGGGAACTTGCAGGTTAAAATACGAAGAGGGTGTGAAACACCAGTTAACTCAAGAATTAAGGTAACCTGATCCCTGCTCAGCCCTTCCGCTGGGACTGGGCTGCCAGGCTCTGGGAAGCTCTTTGGAAAAGCAGACCTCGAGCATGGCTCTCCGTTCAGCGGGTCTCACACTGATGCGCACCTGGTCGCTCCACTTCTGGCAGGGAATGCCGGAGGCTGTGACGTTGGCCTGGCCCTGGTAAAACTGGCCATTGCCACTGTAGCAAGTCCCTGGGAAAAAAAAAAACAAAACAAACCCAACAAGAAAAATGGGGTCAAGGCATCTCAGACCATGTCTTGCAGTGGGGACTCACAAGAGTAAACTTCATGTCGTTACACGAGAGCATGTGGCAATTAGCAATAGATCTGAAAGTGCATGTAAGGACCAGACAACTGCAGGCAGGGAATTGGTTAGCCTGCTGTTCCCACCTAAATGGATTTTGAGCTCAAGCCACATCTTGATAGATGACCAAATCTGATAAAACTCCAAAGACGGAACTGGAGCACTTTCAGATTGAGAAAATGGGCCATGCGCCTGCCATGGTTGCGGTGCATCCACCAGGGTCACAGCGCTTCCATGCAGAAAGCGCAGAGCAGAACCACAGTGAAGCCACCCATGCCAAACCAAGACAGAAAGCAAATTGCAGCACTGGTTGCATGATTCCCAGCCTGAATTCTTACAGGGGCACTAACAGGAAGACACCCACACTCCTGGGGTAAGTAGCAGAGGGCTGGGACTCATAAAGTCCCACAATGGTATCCCTCCTCCCTGCCTCTGTACAATGCTTCTCCTCTTAGACTGAACGTTTGGAGGCAGCCTATGGTTGCCAGCATGCACAGAAACCACACACTGAAGGTACCTAAGGTCTGAAGGAATAGTATAATTATAAAATAGTGTTCTTTATAATGAAGAATGTGTAGTTCCCTTTCCATACACAAGGCTTACTCCAGCTGCAGAAAAGTTAAGCAAAAAATCTTGAGAGGATTTGCACTGCAGGAATATGTTCCCAAAATATAAATGTAGACACCACCTGGCCTCAAAGGAGATTTTAATGCATGCTGGCATAATCTAGAAAGCAGGAAGACAACAGGGGGGATGCAGCCTTATGTAAACTCTGCTGACCAGGGGCTAACATTCTGGTTGATGGCATTCATTAGGGTCCACTGCATTATTAACCTTGTCAGATAAAATAAGAAGCCAGCAAACACTGTTGTCATAATTTTACTTTCTATTTTGTTCTTAAACTTGAAGCACAGAAAAAGAAAAGCAGAAGGAAACCTGATCTGTTCTAAAATAAAGATTTTTTTAAGCAAATATTTTTCAGCTTTTATATGCTTTCATCCAAGTTTGAGACAAAGGCTATATGTTTTAATTTATCCTCACAGATTGTCCTGTTTGTCATGTAGGAGGAACACAGTAAATGCATCATGATGACTACCTGTTCTTTTCTTCTTGCATCACCCACTGCACTCAGGATTGCAGTTATAGGTCTTTTATGGACCCTTAGCTTTCTGAACTTTCACCAGGCTCCAGGCACTACGCACGGGTAGGTAGAAACACCACCATGATAATGTTTGCTCCACATGAATGAGATTGAAGAAAAGATCAAGTTCCAGTAGCCCAGTGCATGCAAACACCTCAGTACAGGAATTCATGCATGCACTTAACCCACCACAAATGCAAAGTAAAATGGTCTAAATTGGGCTTCTTTGATTGATGTGCAAGCTACCATACTATGCTTCGCACTTGCAACAAGCTAGCAGCCCCCACATGGCAAGCACCTGTAGCTCTGCAGAGGTGTAAAATCTTATTAAGCTGCCTAGAACATAGTTGTGTGCCTGGGACCAGAATTTTAAATGTCTCACATTCAATGGCAAGGAAAGCAATGCCTGAAACCTGCCTCATGACTGAGCTAGTAACCAACATGAAAAAAACTTTTGCGCAGTTCTGAAATGAACATCTGTGTGACACCTTAAAGGAGCAATGTGGAGAGCTTTAGGAGCAACAGCAACACTAAGGAAGCACCCCTGAGTCCTTGCTGGCCTGGAAAATGCAGATGCTGTCATACACAGTCTGGCTGCAATAAGGACAGAGGGAATGAAAAAGGTGGCCCAGCTGGGCTTTAATGAATAACTTTGTTGGCCAAGTTAAAAAACAGTTCAGTTAATGCTCCCCAAACCTTTGTGCACATAACAGTGGCTCAAAAGTAAAAAGGAGGGGTCAATATCACTAAAATGTTACTGTTATGTCTCTCTGATCCATGACCAAATAGTCCACATCTGTGCAATGACACAGGGAAAATACTGTGACAGCTGAACAAAAAGGTCACACTTTTACACAGGAGACAGAGGCCATGTCCTGAACTTGCAAACATCCAAGAGGAAGTCAAACTGCCCACAAACACACCATTCATTTGCCTCATCCCTCCCTTATGCCCCTTTCCCCAGGAAGGGGATGGCTGCAGCTGCGGGCTGCAAGCATTGGGCAGGGATGCTGGGGCACCCACGGGGTGCTAAAGCACTTGTCTCCCAGGTATGTGGTGCCAGACACCTGGGGCTTGGGTGGCCAGGTGGAACTGAGGCCTTCCCATGAAAGAAAATTCCCCAGAAATCTCGATTTCACCTTTTTGACTTTCTCTCTCCACACAGAAGGTGCCTGCCACTGCCAAATCTGCAGGCCACGCCTGCTCAGAAGCATGGCAGGAGGGAGGCACTGTTCTTGTTTTTTCCAATGGGACATGTTCAGTGGCTGAGCTCTAAACTGCAGTTGCATGTTGGATGGAGGTGCTGCTGGATGTGCATGTTTCAACCACGACCAGCAGCAGGGCAGGAGGCTGGCAGAAGTCACAGCAGCACCACAGAGGACAGCTGGGTCTCACTGTTGGTCACAGGGGGGTCACATGAGAAACTACCAGATTTCAGAGATTACTGGGGAGGAGGGATGAGGCCTTTTGGTCTTGCAAGGCCAGCCTGACACAGGTAACCATGTCAGTAACAGCATATAAGGCTGTGGGATGACCTCAGTAGCAGTATCAGAAATACCAGATATGGGTAAAGCAAAACTAGAAGCCAATGAGTAGAAAGAAGGGGAAACACCTGGAGTGGAGGGTACCACCTAAAAGCACCATGCCTCTAATTGCCTTCAACAGTTACCAGTCCACATTCTCCCCAAGCCCTGAATAGCTGGAAATGTGTTTCCCCATGCCTTGGATGTGGAAGCCCAGGCATTCCCTGGTAATAACCTGAATCCAGCCAGCCAGGATCAGAGCAAAACACAAAAATGCTGTGCAAGTTGCATCTTCAACAAAGAATATCATGCCCACCTCTAGAAACATAGAGCCTGGAGCAGACTACTTACTGGTTATGTTCTCCTTGTTAAAATCTGCAAAAAGACAAGACATGACATAAGGAGGGGTTGTTCAGGATGTGAAATAACTGGGTGCTTGCTTAGGAACATGCTATCAGGAAAAGTTCCTTCCCAGCAGTTCTTAAGCAGCTTGTTTCTTTGCAACAGCACCTGAATGGCAATTTTGCCATCATTAAGACTGGTTTTGGCAATGAGGTTGTCGTGACCCTCTCCATAAAGAACCAGGCTTTGTTTCCTTGAGGGATTTTTCCCACATCCCAGTTAGACGAGATGGGCAAACAGCCGACACAGCTGTCACAGTTCCATGCCAGGCGCTGACAGGATGGCACCCACCATTAGCCTTTACTTTAGTTGTAAATTATGGATCGCATCCTTCCCCCCTCCCTCACCAGGAACACAGCACTCCGGATAACAGGCAACACGTGCCACCTTACCGAAGAAAGGGATGCGGGTGCAGGCGCTGGGGTCCTGGTGCAGGCTGGGCAGCCTGTTGCATTCGGGAAGAGTGAGCAGCATCAGCCCTGGCTTGTAAATCCCCTTCTGAGAGTTTTCTTCCATTGAGAGCCATTCCTTAAAGCAGTAGAGATCCTTTACAGCAAGGCAATTCTCTCTACATTATTTTGCAAAAAACAGTAAAATACAGCAGTCAATGGCTGGATAACAACAGCTGCACTTAGCAGTGGTGTGCAGGGGTTATGCAGGCTGACAGAAATCCATTAACAGGCTATGCTTCTTTGAGCCAGTCTGGATGGTTCATAAACCATGAAGGAAACTCTGTATAAAATGTAACAGCTTCCTTTAGGAAACCCACAAAGCTACCTTTTTAATGAAGCAGGGTTATGCTCAAAACACAACACACATTCCCATCTTTTCCTACAGATATATTGCCATCTACCAACAAGCATCATGTCTGGGAGTTACACTAGCTGGCAGGTGTGGGAGAAGACAGTGATGCGGAAAGGTACTGCTTGGGTCTGTGGTGGAGGTTTTAGTCAAATTCGTCATCCTGTGGGCTGATGCAGTTTCATTACTTGTACTCTGCCAACAGTTTTGGCAAGAGCAGATGGTCATGAGTTTTCACTGATGACCACCAACACTGCAAACACTCTAGAACACCTGAAGGACAGAGGCCATTGGGAATTCTGCTAGGGCAGCAGCTTTTCTGCAACAGCAATGGATGCCCTTCAAGTCTGCAGGTTGAAGCCATCAAAGCCCAGCTGCCCCGTGCTTGGTTTTAGCCAGTGCTGGTTGATTCCTTCCTCATTTCCATGAAAGCCAGAATGCAGCCAGGTGTCATAATTTATCTTTTTTATGTTAAATAACATGAGGAACAGGAATAGTCTTCTGAAGTAAAGAAATATTTAGCTAGGAAAATGAGAAAATCTTGCATTCGAAGCACTGGCTGACACTTGGGAGACCTGGATTGCGTTAGCTGCCTTCACCCCTGAAGCCTGACCATCCTTAAACAATCCCCTTACTTGGTGTGCAACTGCAAGACGCGAAAGACCATTTGTGTGCAATCCTGCTTGCTCCAGCATTAAAGGCGGGTTATCTTCACCCACAAATCCACCCAGGAGTGTGGTGAGGCAGCCAGAGAGAGGGATGGTCAGTCTCCTTGAGCTGGGTTCATACCATTGTTATAACACTTAATCCTGAGCAGCAAGAGCTTGATGAGATCATATGCAAAGATTACTTCAGATTATTATTAGAAATTTTATGTCATGTAAATGGCAGATGGACAAAGAACAGTAGCAGCAGAAGATAGGACAAGTGCGCCAGTAGCATTTCAGGGGCCACAAAGCACTGTGTAAGAGGAGGTGGGGACACACAGACCCAGCTAAAGTGAGACATTTCCCAACATAAGACTGTTCCCTGCAGCCTGGTCGCTTCATATCAGCAGTGGTTGAAACAGAAATGGACGGCTTTTCTTTTGCTATCACAGAAGCAGTCAGTGCTAAAAGGCAGATGTAATCAAGAATTATGAGACATCACTTTCCCTTAAACAGGAAAAAAATGCATGGAAATATGTCAAGGGAAATACGTCCCTCAAAAACTGGGAGAATTCTCTGGCCTCTGAAGTAGTTAAATTCTTACCCATGAAGTATTTCAGCTGACAATTGGTACAGTCTAGCCAGTTTCTGCAGAGAGGTATAAAATTATCAGTAAAAAGGAGATAGAAGATAATTGAAAAGTATTCAAGACCATGTGAAATGTGCTCAAGGGCCTCCAGAGGTCTCAGCTGTTAGACGTTGGGAATACTGGGTTAGGGCTTTGGAGGAACTGTTGTCCAGCTGATGTGCTCTGGGAAAAGGAAACAGGAGGGATGCTGTTCCAGGGCTCTTGTCATGAAGAAAGATGCCTTTAAGTCTGCATTAAAAACATGGGGGGAAATAATTAAAGGTAAAAAAACCATAACATTGACTCATGGATTTGAAGAAAGATGATGCCAGGCAAGTCCATTAAGATTTATATGTATTTGCAAATGCTGTGACTGTTAGCTCAAGATCAAGTGCAGATTTATGCTGATTTATCCCACTCTGACTTCAGAAGCGCCCAAGAGGTGCAGGTCAAATCACCACAAGTTCTGGTCCTACAGGGCCACTCATAAGCAGGGGTAAATGAAGCAAGACCCAGATCTCACTGAAATGCCTCGTGGAGCACTGTGCAAAATCCTTAGCTGACAAATGTGATGTGCATGTGTGGCTCAGATATAAATCCTGTCACACAACTTGAAAAAAGGCAGAGATCATGCACTAAAGGGCACAATGACAAAGAGCAGCACAACAAGGTGGAAGGGAGGAGTCTGCCAGCAGAAAGCAAGTTTCAGTACTTGGCTGCACAATTATCTGTGGATACTTGCACATGCACTTCTTTCACAGGATATATGCCAATCGTGTGCTGGCAGAGGAATACTGAACAGCATAGACACCAAATAGAGAGCACAATGTATTGTCAAGCTTTGTACTGGGGTTTTCCTCTGTGCCTTTGTTTTAGAGATATTAAAGGAGAAGCAATCAGAAAGGTCCAGATTACAAAGACAACATGTTGCTGATTGTCCTAAAAAGCCCCTACACAACTGGAAGAATAATTGCTGGTAGATTACATCTGGCTCAAGTCCAGCTGGCGGACTACTTGCCATGTCTGCAGAGAGGACTTCTATTTCAGTTGAGACACTTGAGTTGGGGCTGCTCTCTCAATAAACACAAATGTGAATAATCTGTTTTAAGATGCGGTTCAAGGAGGATGAGAGCGAAGTACTGCATGTAGGCAGGGATGTCAGCTGCTCAAACATGAAACGGGGAATGACTAGACAACAGTCCTCCAGGGACTGAAAATGGACCCAAATCAGTTGTGGTCGACGGTTACGTTAGGAAAAAAGAAAGCTTCAACCTGAAACGTCTGCGTGGGGCTGTCTTCTGCAAAGGATAGCAGGCAACCATCACTCCGTTATAGTTAACACTAACAGAACCCGGGCTGGAGGCCATATGTAATTAGCACCTAAGGGAAGATGAGGACCAGAAGCTTCAGAGGCCAGACAAGCAAGAGTTTGGAAAAACCTGCTTTATTGTCATCTGAGAAGTTGGGGAAGATGTAAAATCTTGCCGCAAAAAGGAAGGGAAGAAGCTCATCTCCCTGTTCGTGGTGGGAGGACCAGGAGCACTGAGGGAAGGGCTGCTCAGAAGGCTGCACGGGGAGGGAGCGGTGCCTCTGTCGCGGGGATGTGTTGCACAAACACCTGTCAACACTGGATTAGCTGTAGGGGAAGATGCTTTGGGGTCCCTGCCGGCCCTGTTTCAATGCACATTTCTCTGTGTATGGGAGGATACAAGAGCCAGATCAGAGGTTTGGTTTAGCAGGTATAATTACACTGGCCGTGTCACTAATGTAGTCTTTTTGTGTTTCATCTTCGTCACAGTGGGAAGTGCTGAATAATTAGTGTATTGCTTTGGCCAAATTTGTTGCGCACACTGTGACCATATTTAGACAAAATTCCAAACACGCAATTACTTTTGATAGTAATAATGAGTACGTACTGGCCTACTAAGATTTAACAGATAGCTATATGTTAATTATTTAAATCAATTATGTCATTCAAATAGATATTTCTTTTCAACACTGTCGGCTAAAAGCCTGATATAACACAGACATCCGGGCCTGAAAGTCAGTCCATAACCTAGCAGTGAGCCCAGAGAGAGGTGGATCCGATCCTTGAGCATACAGAGGAGAGAGCAAAGGGAAAACCCATGCAAACCTAGAGGACCCATTTTCACCTGGTGCTACTGCAAGTCTGGACAGACCCTCACCACTCCCCTGATGCCTACACAGCCCCACAAAATGAAAGTGAAAGATGAGCATTTTTTTTAATTTACCTGCACACCGGTTTTGGAGCTGGCCCAGCTCCCGAGGGATTGCACTCCTGGAAGATGTAGTTACACAGCAGAGACTCGGCAGCCGGTTGGCAGAATGAACTCACCATTTTCAGTTCAGTCCAGGCAGTGTGCACAAGCAGCTCTTGCGTCTCCTCTGGGTCAGCATAGGAGGAGTTGAAGAAAACAAGAGCATTCTTCGCCAAGATAGCACTACACACCTCACCTCTGTATGTGCTGCAGTAGCCTGCATCACCCTTGTACAGCTTGCTGTTGAGGAAAAGAGCATACGCACGCAGTAAGCTCACAGCTCTAAAGACCTGCAGGAGCAGGAGCCCAGGCTCTGCCTCTGAGTAAAGTGGCATCTGTAAAGCTAGCAGAGGGTGGTAGATAATTATAACCACTAGAAATGTCTAATACTCTCCAAAAATTAAACTTCTGCAAGGAACCCCTGTGTGAGCGCAGGGCCCTCCTGGCGAGTTCCAGGGCTGATGCTCTGGCTGAGGGTTGCTAGCATTATAAGTGGGCGAAAGGACTGAGCAATCATACAAAACCATAACCTAGCACGGCCCCTCACCCTGCCCCCAGGCCCTGATGGGAAAAATGATTTGTTTTCCTGCTTCCCTGCAGAAGAAATCACGGGTGCTCCTTGCTGCACACCTGTGCTAACTCAGGATTTTTTGCTCTCCTGACTAGCAATAGTTTAATTTTGGATGGACTCGATGAGCAGGAGCCAGGTGAGTCCCACCCAACACATGCCAGGAAATTCTTTGCAAGATCAGACCAGCCAAGCTCCGGCACCCCTCCTGACCCTGCCTCTCTTCCACACACATTTAGGTAGGAGACACAGGGAAGAGGAAGGCACAAGCAGTGCAGTTTTCCTTCTGTTGCTTCCCTGCAAGGTCCATCCTCTCCTCTCTTCACCACACCTTCCACTTTGCAAACTCCTGCCTCAAAGCAGGGGGCCAGAGTTATGCCAGAGCAACAGAAAGCATAGCAGGGCTGGCTCCTTCATGGGCTGTTTATTTAGCTTTCCCGCATTTTTCACATCTAGCAGGAGATGGCTGTCATCCCTCCCTCCCGTCTCCCCCGCGGCCATCAAAAGGCAGCAGGCAGGGGGAGGGCACGCACAGATCGGCCACGCTGCCAGCGACCACCCCGCGGTGGCAGGGTCTGTGGGTGAGGATGTGCCCGCTGCTCAGGCAGCCTGTGGGAAGCAATGCCCACAGTGTGGGGGGAAAAATGGGAAAACAGCCTCTCCCCTGTGGAGGGGACAGCCACACTGGGGAGGGAGGAGGGCTGGGTGCAGCTGCACGTTCGGACAGTTTAACTGGGGTCAGGGAGTTCAATTCACAACACGCCAACCATTTGGAGTAGCCAGCAGAGCTATTTGTATCTTTGCCTTTTATTTCTTTCCCCTGTCCAAATAATCACCCATTGTCAACCCTGGAGGTTCTTGCTGATTTTCTTTGGAAAGCTGGAGGTACATGGATAAGGGATTATACAGGATGCCCAAATTTCAACTTTCCAGATGCCGCTCTCTGCAGATAACACTCTCTGGCCTTGGTTTAGCGGCACTACCTTGGGTTCAATGTCAATTTTTTTTTTTAGTAGTATTTTTTCCTATATGTCACATTGGCTAAAAAATACAGGAAGGCACCAATTCCTGGAGGTACTACCAAAACAGCAGTGATGCTGTGGCACCCTGCATCGCCCCAGGCTCCACGGGCATCCCTTCATGTGAAACAGCCCCCCACCCCAGCAGCCTGAGCCGGTCCCACAGCCCAGGACATCTCCCTGGCACCAAGCAGGTTTCTCCACAGCACCACGCTGCCCCAGCACCCTGCTAGAGCCGTCCTTGGCATGCAAAGGTCATGCTATTCTTGTTTTCCTAATGATGCCCCTTGTGCTTAATCTTAAAGGTGCATCCTTCCTGTGCCCCAAGAGGCAAAAGAGGGCACAGGCGTGCATGGGGCGGCTGCGCTGCTGACTTCAGTGGACTGCAGAAGCAGCCTGACAAGAGCCAAGCACTAATATTATGCTTCCTGGCTTTTTTAAAACCTATAGAGAGGCACAGACCAGGGGAAGCAGCAACAACATGTTTCTCACAACGCCTCGTCACAGAAAGGGAATTCTGTGCAGCAAATGTTGAGAACAACTGCGGGACAGAAGGGCTGAGCATTTGATCGCTATTCCCATGCCTGTCACATCTACATGGGTGCAGGTGTAAGGCGTAAGTCTGCCATCATCATCAGACGGTCACTATATCGCTTAACAAACTTCCTGAATCAATCTTGCAAGCATCTGTGAGGCAGGCAAGGGCCTTCTCAGGGAGCCTGTGTCAGCAGACTGGCAAAGCCATTTGCTCAGACTTTCTCAGGCTCTGCTCTTTGCCCTGAGGGCCAGTAGCTCCCAGCCCTCCTCCCAGGCTAACCCTCTCATTTTTCTTCCAGCCTGATCTGCAAGTGCAGCATGTAGAAATACACTAGGACTCTAAAAAGCCAGCCAAATTGTTCAGTATTCAAAAAAATACTAAGCAAAAGTGCATGTCTGATCACATACAAGTGGCTTTACTCATCCATAACTCTGCTTGGAACAAATATCTAAACCTCTCTTGCCCTAGCCCGGTGATCACCAAACGAAAATATTGGTTGTGTGCAGAAAGGGGTTTAACTTGCAGTTAAGCTTTTGCCTGTACATTTATAAAGTCAGTGAAGTTGTGCTGTGAACAGAATTTAATCCAGAATATTCTGCCCACGACCATACTTTGAACACCCTTACTAATGTGTGATCCACTGCTTGCTTGACACAGAAGCATCCTTATCTACCTGGTCCCAGTCTCCAATTATGCCTGTATAAAGAAGCTCAGTCTTCCCTTCAGGTGAGCTTCATCTGCATGCTTGGCATCCAAAAACCTGCTCCCTTCATTTAAGCAAAATTAACCAAATGCCCTTGGTTCACCTCTCTTCTCCTCCCTGGCCCAGAGGAAACCCCCAGGCAGCCACAGAAAGTTGCTCTTACCTCCACTCTGCCAGGAAGCACCCGATCCAGGAATTGTGATGAGCCAGGAGAAAGGAGAAATGGAAAAGACATCAGTGAAACTTCATTGCCCCCCTCTGAAGTGTGGGAGTTAAGATTTCCATGCTAGGAAATCTGTCTGAGACCTGTAAGCTGTTCGAAAAGGATGCAGCTAAATTCTGTCCTTATTTTGCACCTTCTTGTGGGGAAGAAGAGTTGGGCAACACTGGATGCCATTTGGGAAGAGGGAATGAGGAGGAGGAAGTGGATTGTTGACTGCAGTTCTTGCTGAGGTGGACTGTTGCACCCTAAACCCACAGCTTTACCCTTACCCTTTGGGTCCTACATAACCAGCAGATAGCATCCTCCGTTTAAGCCACCCACGCATCCATTACTGCAGGCAGCAGCTGTAAGAGGTGGAAGAGACCAGGGCTGGAGGAGCAGCGCAGGCACACGGCTGTGGCCCCCTCTTGCAGCACTGTGGGGACCTGGTCTGCACTGGCACGGGGAGGAGGTGTTGAGCATCAGACAAGGACCAGGAGATCTCTGCCACAGGCCCCTCGAGAGCTGGGATGAGGCTGAGGCAGGCTCCTGCTCACCCCTGGCAGGCTGCTCCCCTCTTGCTGAGCACAAGCAGCCTGGAGGAGGGCAGTGCAGCTTCTCCCACCAGCCTAAAGCACCTAGCCTCCCTACTGCATTTGCAGGTCTGCTTCGTGGGGCAGAGCCTTGCCCAGGCTAAAAGAAGTGGGAATGTGAAATACAGTACCAAGGGCTGAGTCTTTTATGGGGCAGAGCTTGCTGCTAGGTCTCAATGCCCAGGCACAGAGAGAGGGGCAGATGTGTGCCTGAATCACAGCAGGACCAGGGCTACCACCCCATAGTGGTAGCCCTGGTCCCAGGTGATTCCTCCTTCCTCCAGCTAAACCCCCCTGCCTGTCCCACAAGGGAAGGCACATGCTGCAACCTCTTTCTTGGTGTGATAAATGCTGTCAGCTGTCTCAGACCATTGGTATTTCTCCTCTTTGGATCATCCTTTCCCCATCTGGGAGATGTCTCTTGGAGCAGAGGCTACTGCAGGCACAGCAGGGTACTGCTCCAACATGAACCTACTTGCTTTCTGGATGCAACCTCCTGAGAAGCTGAAGTGCTCATGAAAGCTATTTTCACCTTGCTGTTAGGTGATACCAATGCTGGGTCATGGCCATGACTTCCTCCGCATGGATGAACTTACCAAGTGTTCTTCTGGGACACAAAGTACAAGACGGCATCAAACATTCAGGAAATGACAGCTGTGCCAGTCTCCAAAGTGTAAGAATATATGAGGAAATAGCCTGGCGGGGGATGCACTTGTACTCAAATTTAGCCCCCTGCACATTACAAGCTCTCCAAGGCTTTCTCTCCTCCTCCAGAGCACTTCACACCCCTTTCCTCTCCCCCAGCAGGAAAGCTAGGACTGTGATTGCAAGGGTAAAAAAATAATGACCCCTTCTTTCCCAGCATACCTGAAACGCTGATGGTTGCTGCAGCTTTTGCGGCTCCAAAAGTTTTGCTGTGTTTGTTCGTGGCGAGGCAAGTGAACAGGCCAGGTCGGGTGACATACACCTGCAGTCTGGAGTCAACCACTCTGTCCTTGATGCTTTCCGCTATAGATCCTGCGGAAACCTAAGGGAGCAAAAGGCCCAGGGCAGTGCTGTTTCCAAGAAAGGCAAACAAACAAACCAAGGAAAAGGGCCCATGGGTAGCTGCAAGCAGTACGAGCAGTCTGCATGGTCACATGCACCGTGGAAAACCACAGGTGAAAGTGTCAGGTAGTCATGCCTGGGACTTCCACACCGGCCAGCTGTTGTTTTCTCTGCTGGGAACCTCATGCCATTCCCTTGTGTTAATTGATTCCCTTCCCTTTTCAAATACGTTCCCTGAGATTCTGTTTCCGGCAGGTCTTTTTTTAGTCTTTAAAACCCCACCTCAGCTGCCACTAAAGCAGAGACCTCTTCACACCTTTATACCTAGCTCACTCATTCTTTGCAGTCTGGAAAACTACAGTTTAAGGTCCATGATACCCCATGGTGCATAGCAGGAGGAAAAGGAATTGTGTTTCTCTTCAGGTAGGCAAGGCAGCTGCTGCACAGAAGTTTCCATCCTTCTCTTCAAAGGCAGCTCAACAACCTCAGCAGAATCCCACTCTTTAAACCTCAGCACGATTACAAGTTGGTGTTCGGAGACCATAATGCCGCAGGCACGTTGCATCTTCAAGTGACTCACGAGGCACTGCTTGCTGGTGAGCCAGCCCTCAATCGCATGTGCTCCAGTCCACCCACTTCCTGGCCTGACTTTCCCAGAGATGGGCTCTCGTTAAGGTCTCCTTGCCATATTTAAAATTAGGTGGTCTAGAGTACCACCTTCCTAGGACTGGGCTTTGCCTCGCTGGCAGGAAGGCAGCGCAGCAGATCTGACCAGCCAGGCAGTGGCCCTGGGCAGGGGCTGAGCATCTCACACACAGCTCCCCACAGGACCAATACACAGGTGGGATCTCAGAGCCCCCAAAAGGTTTCTTCCACAATGGGGAAGAAGTCTTGAATGTACACCTGCAGTTGTCTCAAATTAATTATCACTAGAAACTACTGAAGACCCATAGGGCTCTGCAGAGGCTGATCTGCTTCCTTTGCTGTTCTCCCTAGCAACCTCAAGGGAACAGACAAAATGAGCCCTAACCAGACCAGAGGACACAATACGGTTTAGAGGAGATAAGGAAGGCAAGACAGTCTGCAGAGTAGCCCAGGCTCCTTAATAATGCATTTTAATACATGGAAAGAAGGGATACAGGCTGGGATGGAGATAGCCGCCTGAAGTAAGGGACTGGAGCAAGATTTATGGGTCCTGTTGGACAAGCAAGTCCACAGGAATCACCATGGCCTGCTGGTGGTCAGAAGGACTTGGGGTTCACGGGGGTCAGTGACAAAGAGCAGAGGCAAATCACCAGCCTGCACCCAATGGCTGCCTCCACAGCATCATGCCCTGGGGCACACCCTAAAAAAGCTGTTGAAAGACCATGGAGGGTATAAAACATGTCCACCATAACTGTGTGAAGACTGGAGGAAACCCACAGCAGGCTTGGGCTGCAGAGCTGCTGTGACTGCGGTGCACCAGTCACTCCGGAGGAGGTAATATCAGGTGTCAGGCGGCTCTTCTTCAGTATAGCTGAAGAGAAGGCATTGTGTTGGCCTACACTCGGACATGAAAGCCAGAAAAATTCAAAGCAGGCACCTGTTTTAAATGGTCAGGATAACTAGACCAGGGAACAACTTCCTGAGAGAAGCAATGGATTTGCATCTCTTGGTGCCTGCCGCTGAAGGGCAGGGTGTGCCTTTCTTGAGGATGTGCTTCTAGCCAGGAATAAATTGGTGGCATACTTTAAGACGTCACTGAGGTCAGTCTAGAAAACTTCAGATCTATTCATCTGCAGATATGCTTTGCCTATATGCTGTCCTACAGGTATTTTGCCTCGAGGCAGTTAGCTCTACCTAACTACCTCATTTCATGTTATTTTGTCAGATATGCAATTTTGCCATTTTATTGTTACCACATTAGGAGAAAGCAGAGGAAAGGTGGCTGCAGAAATACTTAAATCCACAATGAAGTCCTAGAAACGCTGGCTCAAAGGAAGGTGGTAAGCATCTAAAGCATCCTTCATCTCAGTCTTTCCAGACCTCAATGAATTAACTCCCCTGGAGAAGGGGGATAGTGTTTTGCAGAAGAGAAAACTGCAGCAGGGAGGCAAGGCGGGCTCAATTTGACTGCATAACAAGGTGCTAAGGCAGGAATAGAAACCATGGGTGCTGGCTCCCAGCCCCACATTTTAATCCCTGGGCTGTACTTCCGGCCGCTAGCAGCCCTCTGGGGCCAAAAGCATGAAAAAAGAGGCACTCACCGCTTTCCCATTCTCTAGCCAGGTGATGGTGGGCACTGGAAGGCCGGTCGCCGTGCACCGCAATGTCACCACAGACCCAAAGGTGATATTGTGGGATTCGGGAGCCTTCAGGATTCTGGCAAAAACTACAAGACAAAGGTAGTAGCTGAACGGCGATGTAAAGCTGAGGCTATGCTGGCGTGCGGGTTCTTCAGCCCCACAAACAAAAGTGGAGGATAGCACAGGCTTCCTGTGCTTCTTCCTCTTGGGAGAGGGACAAGGAGGAGAAAGAAAGTGATCAGCATGGTTATGTTCTGCACCTTCCCTCTGGAGATTTCTACATCTGAGTTCAACACCTCAGAGGAGATAACATGCAAAAAACCAAGGGCAAACTCATCAGTAACATGCAGATGGGACAGCTTACAGCAAATATGTGGCAAGTTACCATGTTGCCCTGCCAAGGGTGACCTCACGAGAAACTTGTTCAAAACCGTCAAGGGAGACCAGCCGTGTGGTCACATACCGTGAAGGTTAAGGGTCAGATGAGCTCCTCAGTGTGATCTCAGTGATTAGGACCTACCATGGAAAGCCGCAAACCCCAGCATTTTCCATGCCACAACAACCTGCCCTAAGGGGAGAGAGTCTTACCATTATGGGGAATGGCCAGCAAAGACTTTGGGAAGCTGATACTGCAGGGCGAAAGTAGGTTTTTAAAGTGGCTTTTCATCTCCTGCTGCTTTTGTGGCAATATGGTTACTGGGCAGTTTGAAGATAAGCAAGATAAGCACCTCCCTGCCCCAGGAATTTTTTGGGGCTTTTTTGTGAAAAGAACTGAATTATTTTTGCTGAAAACTGATTTTGATCCAGAAACAGAATTCTGATAGCCTTCACAAGCTGTATTTCAGATGCTGTACTTGGACCACATAGAGGAAAGCAGAGAAGAGAGACATTTCCCATGCGTAACATTTGAGTTTTGACCCAAAATTTTTAATGGCAATGCCTGAGTGTCTGTGCAGAAGCAAGCTGATTAGTTCTGTGCCATTTCTTACTCCAGTTTCTCACGCTTAGTGAGTAATGCTTGCTCTCTCCCTTCTGGGCTGCACAGCAATGATTAAAAGTCTCCACAGAAATTTTAGTGAGCCAGGGAGTCTGTTTTGGAGATCTCAGACAAGCCTGATATCTCATTTGCCACTTTTGCTATCTCTATGCTTCCCCCTACCAACATATGTGATCATGTCAGTGTCTTCTGTGTCTCTGTTTGCCCGATGCACCTCTTGGCACCGGCCACTGGTTGCTCCCAGATGGAGACCTCCATGCAGAGCAAGTAGGAGACCAGTGAGGGTCCCTTCAGAAACTGAACATCCATCTCTGCTGTTTGGGATGGGAAGGTTTTGTCTGTAAAATTTCGGTTGGGAAAAAAGTATACACCTTCCATATAGTCCTCCCACCCAGTCTTGGCCTGGGAAGGGGCTGAGATTTGTGTTAACAAAGAAAGAGCCTAAAATCAGCTTTTGCTTGTGGACAGGCAGCACTAGGGGTACATTTCAGTGTAGAAACTTTTTTGTCTCATGAGCACAGCCATTCAATAGGCTCCTGGGCAGGAGTTTTTAGGAAGATTAAATTTAATGTCAGTGAAGAGAAAAGGGTGGGAGGATACATATTACATTCAGCTTCTTAATTCCTCTACAGTCTCTGAGCAGTCCCTCACTGTCGAAGCTCAGTGTAACTCGCTTAAAATCAAAGCAGCGCAGCATTGGGGCTGCTGCATCCCCCTGCAGCGAGGCAGCAGGAACGAAGCTCCACCGCTAACGAGGAGAGCTGCAGTTGCTGGCCAGGGACTTTCCTGAAGAATAATAAGCAAAATGAAACCTTTGCCTGAAGTTTCACTTCAGGCCATTAACACCAGATGGTTATGAATTCAGCCCCAAGCACCCTGGGCCAAGCTCATAACTACTTTTATACTTCGTTTGGAGAAATACTAAACTCCTGGGCCTGTCCCCTGGCAGCAGTTAGGTGCACAGGGCTGTGGCTGAAGCTAGCACGTTAGCTCCCAGAGCCAGAATGTGGGCCTCGGCGCTTTTCTCACGCTGCCGCTGGTTTCACAGTGTGCTGCTTGGGAGCCCACCCGCCTGACAGCTCTGCCCCTCGGATCCCGCCCCGCTTAATTAATACCAAAGTGGTGAGTTGACAGCACCCCATTAGCCGGTGGCCAGACACAGGCACATACGCCCTCCTCTGTACCAGCTGCTCTCCCAAAATCTGGGAGGAGCTGTCAGCCAGGAGCAGCAAAGGTGTGCTTCCGAAGAGATGGCAGCTGCACGTGTGGGGAGCAAAGCCCAGAAGGCTGCACCCCGCTCCCTGGGGTCCCCCCACCAGCGCTGATTGTGGCGTTTGCTTTGGCAGCCCAGCACACTGCTGGCCTGGGCACCCATCCGCCAGCAGAGGGAAGGCAAAGGATCAAGCCTAAACCAGCAAATACTGGGGTAAAACATCCAGCCACAGCTGCTAAGCATTCAGACGTTTCTTGCAGAAAGTACGGCAGGTGTATGATCTCATACCAGGAGGCATAGCTAAATAAAAGTGGGCCTATGAGGAAATAAGCTGATTCCCAAAGTGGGGAAGAACGGAAGCTCCTGTTACCCCCAAGTGCCACTGTGTGCATTTCCAGGACTTTCAAAATTGAAGTTACAGATTTAATACCATAATATTTCAAGTGCTTATATGTGCATGCTTTTTTAAAATTATGTTAAAGTTTAACCATTTGACTTAAGCACTTTGCTCTAGAGCCTGTGAATGGAATAACCTGGGTTTTTTTACATTGTTATTTTTAAATGAGAGATTCCCTGGGACGAGGGCTGGTCTCTCCAGGTTTTGGAGCACCGCTAACTGGCACACGCAGGGACACATTTTCCAAAGGGCTCTTCATTGCTTTGTGAAATAGCATTAAAAAAACCAGCATTAGCTATTTCTCAGCCCCATCATCTATGGGTGGATGACTGACATGCTGCCGCTGCCGGCAGACTCGGGTGCAATGGGAAAGCCAGGTTGGGTTGTGTGAGAGCAGCCAGTGTCACCTTCCACCAGTGCAAAGCAGGGAGAGACCACCAGAATGAGCTCAAGGTCCATTTTGGCAACTACAGCAGCAAGGAAATCTGTCCTGTAGCTAAATGGAAGAACCCATCCCCAAAAACCATGACTTTTTTTTTCCATACACACACACAAAGAAAGAAAAGAGGAAAAGGCGAGGAACAAATGGTGACCCTGATGGTGCCAACCCAAGCAAAAGAAGGGGAGAGGCGGGTGAAAGGCAGGTGGGCTCAGGACATGGTTTTCTGTTCATTTTGCCTCAGAGTGAAAATTCCCAACGATCAGGCGATTTTTAGCACCTCCATTACCCACCCTCCTTTTCCAGATCCTCCCAAAAGCAGATTTTTGCCTGTTTAGGTACATCACCACAAGGTTCACAACACTCACGTCAGGACCCCCCAGGCTCTCAGGGAGGGATCTACCCAAAGGCATGCCAAAAAGCAGTTAAGGAAGGCGGGAGAAGAGAGCTCCATTTATTTATTTATTTAAGTGGAAAATAAAACAGAGGAGCTGGAAATGAAATCCGGCCAGCTAAGAGCCAAGCCAGCACGTTAAGTTTCACTCCCAAGCCCCCTAATAAATGTCCTTTCTTTTATAGCCCCTGCTAAATGATGTGCTGTGCGCTGCAGGGCTTGCTAGGAGGTATCTGCACCATGGCCAGCTGCTCTCGTTTCTGAGAATTAGGTAACATCATCCAGTCCAAACAGTAGGGCTTTAATTCAGTCACGAAACTTTTATGCTATAAAAAGATTAAAGCAGGGTCCCCCCGCCAGCCCCCAATTTGAATGGCTAACTCTTTCCAGGTGACTTTGTTTTCCCATCGCCTTTGACTGAGCTGTGTTTCATTTCCAGTGCTTGGGGCCCGATCCTGCAATCCTGGCAGATGCCTGCCCCCTGACTGGGTAAGGCCTGGTTTTTTTGTTAAAGCAGGGTAGTTTGGGCCACTCACATCCAGGCAGCAGCTTGGGTGGCCCGAGGCCACACTGCTGCTTTTGGGAAAGGACAAAGTGATGCCCAGAGCTCACAGGAAACCCTGGTGGGCACAGCGCCAATGCAAGAGGACACCCCTTTTAGCCAGGTTTTCATAAGCCTTAATGCTGTCTTTGACGCCAGGCCCAGTCAAGCACTGGTTTTGAGGTGCGAGGTGTTTTTTTTTTCCAGAGCCTCCACTGTCTTTGGTGAATGTCAACTGTCAGAGGACACAAGCAACGTTTGCCAACATACATGACCTAACCCAGCCTGTCAGCATCTGCACGTATTCACGTCCAAGAGTTTGTTGCTAGTCCTGGCTCACTGTAAAACATACTTGACAGTCCAGATTGAAGTAAGGCCATCAAGAGCTAAACCTGTGTTAGCAATCACTTGGTGATAGCGGGTGCACACTCCCTTCCCACCACAGTCTGAGCCTGGTCTAACATTTGAGGCAGACCTGGCATGTCCATACTGACAGATCTGATATCTCAACCTGCTCCACTTTCTCCGATTGTTTTGCTTTTATCATGAAAAATGCCCTTTTGGGTGATTACAGCTGCAAAACATAGTGGGTAAAGGCAACTCCTATGTGCAAAAGGCCTGTTCTGACGGTACAGCTGGTGCCATGTTGAGAACCAATGTGCTACATTGGTAAGCTACAGATCACCTCGGAAACTTTCCTGATATAAATACCCTGGCAAAGCCTTTGTGCCACACACTATTCTTGTGTAAGCATTTAGAAGCTAAACTGCAAGCACGTTTTTTTGTTCACGTTCACCAATGCTCCTGTAGCTCTTTCATACCTAAAGCATGACAGATTGAAATGACTCCTTCTATACAGAGGAGTTCTCTGGGCTTGGACTTTGCTTACTAATCCGTAAAAAATCATTTATGCTTGCCACCTATATGCTCTGAAGAACCATACACTTGTGCCAGTGTGTTTGCAGTCTTTTGCCAATGAGAAGTCCAGTCATCTAAATCCACATTCAGATTCATTCATTTTACATCCATTCACTCTTCCTGACAAGTCTAAACCAGACAGTCAAGGAGTGGTAACAAGCAGAGGGGCCACCATTTCCTTCCCACT